GAAGAGTCCAGTGGAAACAACCAACGCTGGCAGCAACCAGGCCCAGTGCAACTAGGTGGGCTAGACAAGCGCTCGTGCTACGCAGGAAGAAATACGAGTTAGCGGCGGCAGACAGCACTGGCTGTGACCAGGGCAAGTGGGGCTGGTGTGAGCAAGGCAAAGGCGAGTAGGGGCGAATGACCGGGGAAACACCAAGCGCATAAAGCAAGCACAATCTCACTCGAGGCCAAAGTGTGCGCAGGAAAGAATATCGGTAAGACGCCCGGCAGCAAACGCTGACCAACACCGGCAGCGACAGCGGCCGCTGTTGCGCAGGCGACTACTTTTTCTCAAGTGGACAACGTCCGCGGCGACAACGAGTCCTGTTCAGAGTGGTCAGAAACTTCTAACGGTCTTCTACGCAACAGAAATTCACCACCGTGCCTGCACGGAGTGGGCGTGCTAGAATGCTTGCTTGTAGTTTGGAAGATGTTTTAATTTCTGGGGCCGACCCCCCCCTCCCCGCACGCACCCCTCGAAAACAGCCTCCGCTGAAATGGCTTTCTGGCGGTCTTTTCGGCCTCCGCACGGCCGAGATGGCCCCCAAAACGGCATCCAAAACAGCCAAGACGACAACAAAACGGATCAAGATGGCCCAAGATGGCTCAAGAGCCTTTCAAGGCAGCCTCACGACGGCCCAGGAAGCTCCCAAGATGGCCTCCAGACGGCCCAAGAGGCCCTCAAGAGGGCCCAAGAGAGCTCCAAGGGCCTTCCCGAAGAGTCCGAGGGGGCGAACACCACTGCTGATCCTTAGGTGTTTGACGGAGTTTGAGGTTCTCGCCTGTTCGGGTTTCTGATCGCCCGACACGGCCCAAGACGGCACAAGAGGCCTCCAAGAGGCCACCAAGATAGCTCCAAGACAGCCCAAGAGGGCCCAAGTCGGGCCAAGATGACCCACAAATTGCCCAAGGGGCTCCCACGGGACCCCAAAACGGCCCTGAAGCGCTCCAACAGAGCCATAAGAAGGCCTAGAGAAGCCTCGTGGGCTGTCGTGGGCGGTCGGAACGCACAAACATGTCAGAGAACCGCAAATCAGTGGTGTTGGCCTCCTCGGGCTCTCCTGGAAGGCATCCTGGAGACCTCCCGGCCAGCCTTGGGGGCCACTCGATCTATCCTGAGGCCGCCTTGGGAGCCTCGTGGCCTCCAGGACAGCTTTCAGGGCAGCCAGGATGACACCAAGATGGCTCAAGACGGCACACGAGGCCCCCCAGACAGCCTCAAGACTGCTCAAGAAGCCCCCGAGACAAGAGGCCTTCTTGAAGAGCACGAGGAGGCCAAAACCACTGATGGTCCTCAGGTGCTTGATGGATTCTGACGGTCTCGCCTGTTCGGGCTTCCGACCGCCCAAGACGGCCCAGCCTGCAGCAGGCCTCCAGACTAGCTCCGAAATAGCGCAAGAGACCCCCAAAGAGGGCCCCAAGTCGGCCTGAAAAGAGCCCAAACATCGCCCAAGGGGCTCCCGTGAGGGTCCCAAGACGGCCGTGAACCGCACGGCCTAGAGAGGCCCCAAAGGCGGCCTCCGTAGGCGTCAGAAGAACCAAGCATTCCCTAAGACGGTCCAAAGGGCCCCGAGAGGCCCCCACGAGACCCCAGGCCCCCAAGAGGCCCCCAAAAAGCTTTGAGAAAGCTCCCAGGAGGCCCCCAGGAGGCCCCCTTCTCCTCCTCATCCTCATTTTCTCCCTCTCATCCTCATGATCATCCTCCTCTTCCTCCTCCTCCTCCTCATCCTCGTCCTCATCCTCCCTACCGCGCGGACGAAGACGAGGTCGGGATCACGACCCGCCCCAATGCAGACTACTCGTCGGAATTGCGCTGTTCTTACACTATGCCTCCTTCCTGCTAGGCGGGATTTGCCGCAAGCAGCTGGATCCATACACAGACACCATCCGATGAAGTTTGCATGTATCTTCAGGGAGAGCGGCGGAGTATACAATCGCTGGCTCCCAATGGTGATGTATACACCGCCATCCTCCCCTGAGGCCGAGAAACAATCCATTGGACGGTGTCTGTGTACATATTTTTGTGGCGGATACTCGTCCTCATTATTCCCGTTACCACTTCTACCGTGCCGACTTGCGCCTCCTGGCTGAGGTGTGAAGGACACGGGCAAGCGCCCCAGAAGGGCGCAACGACGCGGCAACGGCACAACGACCACCCGAACTGAACCGACCGAACGCCAACGACCGCGACGCAGCCAAACCGACCGAGCCGCGAACACCCTCGAGGACGAAACCCAGATCTCCGACGTGGTTAATTTTTCATAACGCGGGTAGACCACTTCCCCGGGAACGATTTTTCATCCCGTCGGTCTTCAGACTGCCCTGGGGCTCAAGGATGGCCGCCCGAGGCCGGAAATGGCCAAAACCTCGTGTCGTGTTTGTGTTACAGGAAGGGGAAGTAGGGGGAACCTCTGTGCCCGTTTCCCTCAGGACTCCTGTCCTTCGACACGAGTCGGCTACACGCCAGAGAGACCCTAGGCAAGAAAGACCTTCGATGCGTGGCTTCCGGGGGCCGCGGGTAGGCCAAATCCAGGCGCCCCTGCCAGTGCTGGGAGGACCCCTGTGGGACCGCACCAAAGGTCATTCCAGCGAAGGGCTGCTCTCAACGAGGCCTCCCAGACGGGATCAGAGTAGATGGGGCCAGCGGGTCGTGCCGCACCGTCAATACATCGCCCATGCACCGTCGATACATCACCAACGACGCCGGCGTGGAGAAACTTGGGCCGACCCCGTCTATTCCGACCCCATCTGGGAAGCCTAGATAGGCGTAGACGGGAGAGGGTGGGCACCGCCCCGACCGCCTGCGCCTGCGCTGGCGGGGCCCGTGGGGCGGCCGCTGTCCGCAGCGTGGCGCGCGGCAGCAGCGCGCGGGCAGCCACGAGCATGCTAGCCGTTGCGATCGCCGCGGGGGCCGGGGCGGCGTGGAGGGCAACGGCTGCGGCAGCGCGCTTGGGATGTCTTGGCGACTTTTTGGCACGCCCAAGTGGCTACGGAGAACATGAGCACGGTGCCCAGGAGCAAGCGCTGTCCAACATCAGCAGCAAGCGCAGTTGGACAGGCGACCTTATGTCTTAGATCGACAGCGTTCGGTTGAGGCCGCTGCGTCAGTTCCAATACAAGGAAGGATATGAAGGCCGAGCACGTGCGCGATGCGGGCACGACGAGCGCCCGAGGTTCTGACGAAAACACTCGGAGCGTACTTTACATTGAACCAGGTCAACAAGGTACATGGCTGCCTACGCAGCAAACGTGCAGGTGGCGGTGACCCAGCTCAGCGTGTCTGAGATGTTTTGGTGATTTTGAGTTCGGCTCCGAAGACTCGGGGGCGCGAGAACCCGAAGGTAAGCTCAGGCTGACTCTGAACTTGGGCGTGACGGCTGACTCACCTGCCTGTTCCATTGGATGCTCCTACATCTCCCTGATCAGGGCAACTTGCCTGGCGATCGTTCGTGGATGAGCTGTTGGGGGCATACGAAGCGTCAAGAACTAGGCTGCGCCTCGCAGGCAGCAGTCTGGGGGCACACAGCGATTGCAGCCCCGGCTGGCTGGCCTCCAGAGACCAGAAGTACGCGTACACCAGAATTACCAGGACTGCGCTTTTCTCGAATTTTCTCGCTTGTCACGATGCCCCCACTGGCGATCCCCAATGTCTCGCAACGGAGCTTGAGCGGCATGGGCAAAATATCGCTCATTCCGCCGGCCAATACTGCATTATCGCTGGCACATGCCTGTGTGCTCGTGGGGGCTGAATAACTAAGTGGCGGGTGGCGACCGTGTCCATGAGCTGCCGCGTGAACCTCGCTTCGGGGAGAGACAGTGGCAGGGTGGATGCTAGGCAACACTCAACGGAGCACACCCCCACCGAAGTTCCGTCAGTGCATCCCGCCGTGCCTGGGTAGTAGTTCAGAGAGGCGACGTGTTGGATGCCTCTCAGGCTCTCTTGCGATGCCTCTCTTGGCGGCTTGTTGGGGGCTGCTGGGACCTAGCAGGAACCTTGCCGGGGTACCTTTCCTCCGCGGATCCTCAGGGGCAGCCACGCGCGCGAAGCAGCAATATGCAAATAACCTGAGCCTCTTACTCAAGATTCTAGCACGCATCTGGCACGATCTCGTGGTGGCGATGCGGCAATCACTATCAAAATCTCCATCCCTCCATTGAGGCGGTCTTGCGGACCCCCAACCGCTGGGACCGTCGGAGCCTCGCGAGGTTCCCCGAATGTCCACAACGCTGAGCAAATCCACACGGATGGTCTTCCCTCCTCGTTTGACTGGGATGGGCGCTGAGTCTGTCGGATGCAGGTGTTGCGCACAGATGTTGGGGAGCAGCAGGCAAGACGTTCAGAACGAGCTGGGGGGGGGCATCCAGGATAAACGAACGGCGCAGAGCGCATCGACATACCGCATCGCCTTTCCAAGATAAGGGGTCTCATGGACAGATGCGGCGAAATGCCACGGTCCTCCGAGAACACTGCAAACCAGATAGCTTGCCCCAAGAGCCTGGACACAGCGCGTGAACACGAGCGGCGCTCCAAAACAACAGGTTGCTGATCATGATTGGTCATTATGTGGCAGTGGTGTTTCTAAGAAGCGTTTCCCCCTCCCCCATACCCCCTCTGCGCGTGGCCGACCAATCCCAGAGCGGTCCACATCAAATCGATACACCCTCTGCGCGTGGCCGACCTATCCCGGAGCGGTCAACATCACATCGATGCATCGGATCCGATCAGAAGCGCATCGGATCGGGCCACATCGGCACGGAGTCGGAAGCGAATCGGATCGGCTCGGCTGCGCCGGGATGCACACCAGCGACATGCAAGCGTCGGGCAGCATCGGATCGTCGAAGCAGTACCAGCACCGAGTCGGCGATCGCTGCCCCTGATCTCTCGCCCTCCCTCTTGCTGCGGCGCGCTGGGCCCCCCACGGAGAAGACGCATCCGCAGCCCGCCGCGCGCGCGCGGGCCACTCAGCCCGGCGGCGGCGGCGCCAAAATCCACTCGGGCCCGTCGGTGCCCGAGCCGAGCCGCCTGCGGCGAGCCCTCTCCGCGGCTGTCGTCGGCAGTGGCACGGGAACTCACCAACTCGGCTGCGCACCACAGGCTGGGAAAGGTTTTCTCCCAACGCCGCCACGTGGTCCCGTGTCGCGTAGCGGGAGGACTGGTGTGAGCGATGGCTGCACCATGTGATACAGAGGCCGAACACACGCGCTTCGCATGTCCACACCCACTGCCCATTGTTGCACTGTGGCGCAACGGTGCAGAATGTCGGCCAGCATGTGTTCAGTACACTCCGTCCTGCTTCGCGCGGTTGCGTCCACGACGGGTGTGAAATGTCAGTTCACTGTTAGACACACACACACACACACACACACACCGACAAAAACCAATATGTCGTGGGAGCACCCAGGGGCCACAACGTTCCGAATGTTTACGCCCACCACGTGTGTAAATTGATACCTCCTTCCTTCACTTCCCTGCACCATGTGACAGAATACGATGTCTCTCGGAGCGTCTGGGCCTCCCCACGACGACGACGCCGACGACGACCACCACGACGACGACTACGATGATTTTGACGACGATGACGACGACGAAGACGACAACGACGACGACGACGTTTACGTACGCTCTCGCCCGAACGCTGGCCACTCCCTGGTACTCGCCCACCCCCTGGCTAGTGTCTCGGCCTGGCCGACCGCTCTCCCTCAAGCAAGGAGAGGCCCCCAGGGCGGCGCTTCCCCTTTTCGGGAGGGGGATATGCTGGGGGGAGACAACGCCACCCCCTCTGGGGGGACATCCTGCTGACACCCCCAAACAAAAACTCTTCTTCGAACAAGGACCGCCCGTTTGGGCTACTTCTGCTTGGGCCGCGTGATCCATTCCAATTCCGATTGGAAAACCACATGTTTCCGATCAGTTCTCTGGGTTCCGCGGATTGTCTGAATTGCGACCCCAAGGTGGGAATGGGAAAGCATCCGCAACTTGCTCCCGCAGTGCAAACGAGAAGAGACCCCATGAATGTGTATGGTAGTTGCAATGAAAACCGGGACCGATGTGACCACAGGCGCAACTATTCAAATATAGCAATGCTTTACATCTTGGACATGGCTCCTGAGCAGGGGTCGCAACAGGGCGGAGTGGGCGAGGCTGAACAAACGAGATTCACTCATTGAATGCCCGTCGATGGGGAAGTGTGAGTGGATGAAACCATTGCGGACGTGGAGGGTGGGAGGAGGAGGAGCAGGAAGAGGAGGACGAGGAGGATAGTGAGAAGTGTAAGATGTACAGGGTAGTTTTTAATACATAGGATTTTGACAATATCGGATTTTTCATACATGATTAATGTATGACTAAAACTATGCATGAACTCATCGTGCTTTTATACTAGATCCCTGCACTTTTAATACATGATCCGCACGCGGAGCATGTATTGAAAACGGCACTGTAATCGGGGCACGCGCGCCCCAGACCGGGCAACCTGCGGAGATTTCCCCTGATATGCGCGCTGTGTGCCAGGTCGAACCAGGGACGTTCCAGGGGCCCCTCGAAAACCAATGCCCCAAACCAGGCAAATGGCGAGGACGTCTCAGGCGAAACCGCGCCCAAACCAGGGGACACCGACCAAATTGGGAGAACGTCTGAGGCCAAACTGCGCCGAAACCAAGCCACGCCAAGCCAATGCGTGGACGTCTCAGGCGAAACCGAGCCCAAACCACGCGAAACCAAAGCGAAACCAGGCAAATTGGGAGGAAGTCTCAAGCGAAAGTGTGCCGAAACCAAGCGAAACCAAGCAAATTGCAAGGACGTCTCAAGCAATATCACGTTCAAACCAAACGAAACCAAAGCGAAACCAAGCAAATTGCGAGGACGTCTCAGGCGGACGTCTCAGGCGAAAGGCCCAAACCAGGCGAAACCATGGCGAAACCAGACAAATTGCGAGAACGTCTCAAGCGAAACCAGGGCCAAACCAGGGGCCAAACAAAGCAATTTCGGAGGATGGCTTGCGCCGCCCAACCAAGCCAAACCAAGGCCCAAACAAGGCAGATTTTGAGGACGTCCCAAGCACCAGGCGAATTGCGAGGACGTCTCAGGGGAAACCAGGCCCAAACCATGTCAGGGAAAATGCGAAAACGTCTCAAGCGAAACCCGGCCCAAACCAGGCCAAACCAGGGCCCCAACCAAGCAAATTCGGAGGATGTCTCAGGCGGCTTGCGCCGCCCAACCAAGCCGAACCAGACCAAACCAGGGCCCAAACGAGGTAGCTTTTGAGGACGTCCCTAGCAGAACCGCCCAAACCATGCTCAACCCACTCTCCTTAATCAAATTCGAATTGAAGGAATGGATCACCCCAGGCCCCCCCCGGCGCGAGCCCGTTTAGAATTGTATAGGGGGGGGCGTTTGGACGACATGTCCGCTGAGGCGGACGGGGTTGGGCGCAGAAGGTTTTGTTTGTCTTTCGGTTGTTCTTGGGGCCTTGGAGAAATGTTTCCGAGCCTGACCCTAGGGAAGAGTGACCTTTTGGTGCGCGGCCCCACGGGGGCGCGAGGGGGCCAAAACCAAGCGCGCCAGCCGCTGCTATCGCATCTGATTCAGCAATCGGGGAGTCACTTCTTGGAAACCCTCGCAAGTTGCCACTGCAGGGCCTCTGTGGTGCATTGCAGCGTGGCCCGCATCGGGAAGGGTTGGGTCCTGCAGGTCGCTGCCCCAAGTACCCGGTGGTGAAGCCCCCGTCAGCACGACGCCGAAATGGTTGCCGATGTCGTGCCGGCGCCGACCACCGGCGATCGCGCGCGGGGGGGGAGGGTCCCCAGACGCCCCGCGGAGATCCCGGTTATTGGTATATGCCCATTGCACTGGCGGAGAGATGCTGTCGGGCAGCGATAGGAGGGGTTGGCTCAAATGGGGGGGGGGGGGGGGGGGGAAAACGTCGGCCTGGACTGGGCGATGCGTCGCCGATAGATGGAGGCTCGGCTCCCGATAGCGAAACCGCACGTGCCTGGGCGGGGTGGGCGATCGGGCCCCCATCGTTATGTCGGGCGTGTCCCCCTACACAGGAATTTTCGACGAAAAATAATAATAAAAAAAGCAACAAAAAATACCCCAAAAAGGTCAAACAATACACACAAAAAAATCCCCAGACTATCTTTGGACTGTTTTTTGCATATTTTTTGGTGGCTATTGTTAATTTTTCGTCGAAAATCCCCCTGTAGGGGGACAGGCCCGACTTAGCCCTGTCGGCGAACAGTGGGCCATTGGGCGTCGATGCGTCCCCCCCTTTGAGCCTGTGCCCTCTTAGCGATGCCCCTGAGATGCGTGAGGGCAGACCGGGGATGGACAGACCTCCCTTTAGTCAAACGTGGTTTAGTGAAAACGACCTGAGGTCCAAACCTGGCGGGCGCAAGCCTGGAAAATAACGGCCGCGGCGCCCTCTCGAGAACTGAAAACAGACAATTCACTAATCGACGTGTCTCTGTTGGGGGTCCTGTCCACCCCCGAGCAGACATGGGAGGGCGGGGGCCAAGGAGGAAAAGTCGACTGCGGAGGCCGCGGTCGTCAACAATGGGCGCCCAGCGCTGCGGCGCCCTCGTGCCCTCGACGTGCGGGTGTCCACCAAGAGAGGGACGAGCTTGGCTGACGAGCTGGCTTTGGCGGGAACCCCCTGGGTCCAGGACCCGTTTCCCTCAGGATCCCTTGGCTTCGTAGGAAAACAGGATCATAGGGATGCGCGGTAAAGATGCAAGGACCTTGGGCGCCCGATGTGAAGCCCCTAGACAGAACAAACAAACGATAATGACAAGCCGAAGGCGCAAGGATGAGCTACTCATCCTCATGATCCTGTTTGACTGTAGGTCCCCCTTGGGGGATTAGGACGCGGCTTGTCGAGGGGACGGGTCTGTCTGGTGAAATGTCGAAGGATTGACGGATTGAGAAGGACACGATTCTGTGCCATCATGTTCTAGATGTGATTCTCCACGACAACGTACAAAGTCAGCGGCATCTTGGCGTCGCACTGTCTCACAAGACAGCTGCATCAGTGGGCACCGCGGGGTGCAATCTTGCAGAGCCCTACTGTCGACATAGATGGATGCATGTTCGTCAAGACCCGAAATGACTCCAGACAAAAAACTGAACCGACACGGTCCCTGAGTCTGATTTTCCTAGATACGCATGAACTCTCCCAATCACCTACTCTGGGACTGGAAGGGAACAGGAGGCCCCAGTCTCTAACCTAGCTGTCCCCTCAAATTGCTATTATATACAAACGGTATGAACATGTCAAAGGCTGTCCCCAATTAGGCTTGCCCAAGAAGTCATTCTTGGTTGAAAAGAATTCTGCATCGGGGGGCACGTTGCCCGTTGCCCGGAAATTTCCTGGGTTCCTCGGCTTGCCCGGGTTCATCGGCTCCCGGGTTCCCCAGGTTCCTCGGGTTCCCCAGGTTCCTCGGGTTCCTCAGGTTCCTCGGGTTCCCCGGGTTCCTCGGGTTCCTCGGGTTCCTCGGGTTCCCCGGGTTCCTCGGGTTCCTCGGGTTCCCAAATTCCCCAGGTTCCTCGGGTTCCTCGGGTTCTTCGGTTTGCTCTCGGGTTCCACAGGTTCCCCAAGCAATGCCAAGCAATGCCAAGCAATGCCAAAAAATGCCAAGCAATGCCAAACAGTGCCAAGCAATGCCAAGCAATGCCAAGCACTGCGCCCATGCAGTAGGAAGACTTCCCCTAATTGGGTCGCCCAGGGAGGGGTCCGGGAGACAGTCCCGTGAGGCGTTCGGGAAGGTCCTGGGGTGAGTCCGGGAAGGAGGCTCTGAGAAAAGGTCGTTCTTGGAGGCATAGCCCTCCTGGGCGTCTCTTGGGAGCGTCTGCGGCCGTCTTGGGGGCCACCTTGGGTCGTCTCGGGGGCTCTTGGGGGGCGTCTTGGAGCCGCCCTGGGCCGTGTTGGGGTCACATGCAGAGTCTTGACGATGCTCCGACTTCCAACGAGGGGTCGCCCTTGTTAGCGCTTCACCTATTCGAACGCATCTGGGGCCCCTCTTGAA